CCACTGACAGATGGTAAGAGAGAAGCGAGGAGGTAAGGATTAGGGATTAGGGAAAGAGTGAAATATAATACTCAGTTTTCAAGTCCGAGGCCTCTGATGTCTCAATCCTACCCGGCATGCAGATATTTTAAGATTCTGCTAAGATAAGAGCAGAATCAAGCTTATCAACTGAAAGCAAGAGTATACTGATGTGACAGATACCCTGAGAATACACAGAAAACGTCATGCCTCTACATTACAATATCACAAATAAAATGTATTAGTCTTCTGTTCTAATTAGTATATAATTCAGTTGTCATTTCAATTCAACAAACATAAAATGCATAATCTATTTTTAAATAGGATTTCAATTTGAAAAATTGCACTACCAATTCGGTTGTAACACAGATCAAGGCAGTGAATTTGATATTTTGATTCGGTTTTTCCAACTAGGTGGTTAATTCTGAATAAGAAGACATTGCAACGTCATTGCAAAGTTACTACACAGCATCGGGCAACAATCATGTGAGGCGCATGCGCGGAACAGAGGCAAACTTTGACCTGGCAGATCAAAATAAGAGAGGGAATATCTGGTCAGTAGCATTAGCATTAGCTGTGGAACGAAGATGTATAAATATTTATTGGTTTAATAAACTGACAAGAGCTGTGACACTGGGAAGATTTCATAAGTACCAAGTTGTTGGACAAAGGTAAAAAACTACGTTTATGTTGCCAGTTAGTAGGTACAGTACTCACAGACTGTGTTCAGAGATGTTATTTCAGTTTCTTTATTAAGCTTAGATGCCCAAACTTGCTTATTGATGCATTGAGGTATAGAAAGTTATTTTAATAGCACTCTAACATGGTTACTATCTGCTTCCAGCGGCGCCTCGCACGTCTTTTTGTATTAATTTTTGTTTGTGAGGTTTAATATTCTTCAGAGATTTGGCGGTTGCTACGTTCATTTCACGCCAATAATCAAGGGCATAAAGCGGGCAAAATCCGCACGCAGTGTTTAAGGAGCGTAAAGTACTGTAAGCTAAGTCAAATAGCTGCAATCAAAATAATTATAGTACTTGTTATCGGATATTCTCATCTAAATTACAAAACATATCATTGCGCTTACCGTTATTTGCGTTTTAATCTTGCACTATTGTGTCGCTGTTGTGCGGGACTTTGACTAGAAGTTTTCTATACACCTGTACTTAGTGTCTAGTGTTGTGACTAGAAAAGCGATTTGAAACAGACGAATTCCCTGAAATCGGGATCCACGCAAAGCAGTAGATACAATATAATATTCACTCAATTTAGTATTAACTCACAACAACAATACCAGACAGTTAATGAATCCTTCGTCCAAATGGAATGAAACAGTATTATTAATTGCTTTAGTTTGTAATATGATTTCTTTATATGATATTATTTAGGGACTAACGGTGGTTACCGGTGTTATGCCGAAAAAGGCATCCCTGCCGTAGAATGCATTCCTGTCTCTAAATGACCGATTGGTCGCTGATCTGGAACGAGTTGAGCTACTTTGTCGAGTTAGGCTACCGTAGTGCTAATCGATAGCCCTAACCCTAATCCCCAAAAAACCCGTAAAACCCTAACCCCCAAAACACTCCTAAAACCCTAACCCTAACTCCCAAAGCACCCATAAAACCCTAATCCCCAAAACACCCCTAAAACCTCAACCCTAACAAAAATAAAAAAAACCCTAACAGTTGGGCAGTGGTGGCTGTGGGCAGTGGTGGCTTGATGGTTAGGGAAGCGCACTTATAATCGAAAGATTGCAGGTTCGAATCCCCCACCAGCCAATCACCACTAAGGTACCCTGAGCAAGGTACCGTCCCCAAGCACTGCTCCCCGGGCGCTGAATTAGCTGCCCCCTGCTATGTCACGAAAGTCACATATGGGT